CAACCTGTAGAAACTTAGAAAATAGTCACAAAATATAAAAAAGTCATTGATTTCAGGAAACATTTTGTTTTCCTGTTTAGTAAAAGATAACACATTGGAAAATTATTATTATTATTTTTTATAAAAGTTAAGGCTGTCCAGATCTTTGATGCAGAAAGTCTGTGGTCCCCAAACTTACATATGATATTTTGACACAGACAGCAACAATTCTATGCAACAGCTCTGACCTTGAGTTTCGACTGGAGGCCAGGGGAAGCAGAGGCCTGCTTTAGTTGTATAAAAATTAAGTTAGGGGAGTGGGTTGAAGGATCCCCGTGGAAATTTCCCCTTGAAATTTTTGGGATATAATCTTTATTTTATACCTTTCTTCATTCAAACTATATTCGTTTTTGTTGTTTTTGTTAAAATGGAAAGTATACTAAGAAATTCGCTGAAGCTATGGAGATAACTGCACTGTACTCCTAATTAGCAACTTTTGTTTTTTTGCTAGAAAATGCAAGAAGATTTTCCTGATAAGTCAGAAGAAGGCTACACAGTGAAGGCAAACTGGTATCAGGAATCAATCAAAGATCTCACCTTTCTTATTCTTTGGAGCTGTTTTATGATATATACTAGTAATTCCAAGTTGTGTTTCACTATTGTATTTCACTACTCAAACAGGACAAAGGATATTTTCTGGCTCTGGCCTCATCCATGGAGCTCAGTAGACCTTCCTTAAAAATGAGGAGCTTCTAAAAGATTGCATATTTATAGTTTCTGAAACCTCTGTGTTAAGTATGCTGAGAATTTGTGGTTTCAGTTACAAAGGTGCATGTGACAAAAATACATGAGACTGCTCGTCTTGGAATGGTTTGTATTGTAAACTAACACTGCAGGAGATGGCAATACGTCCATCAGGGAAGGGTCCCTCGGTGAGCTAAGCTGCTCAGTGGGCCCAGTGATGAACAGAAATGACTGACCTTCTGAATCTTAAGTAAAAACAACAACAACAACAACATCCCTACTGTGAGTTCTGCCTGTGTTTGTCTTGTGTTAGATGGACAGGGGCTATGGTTTTGAAAAAGGAAGAGCTGATATAACAGTTCAATTTTTGACCCTGGCAATGTATTCCCTCCCCTCCTTTTGGATGCCCATTGGCTCACTGGCATTAAGCACAGTGCATGGTGGTTTCTCAGGCCATCCTGTGGTCCCTCACAGTACAATTCTATAGGAAGTAAAGGGCAGTAAACTGTTCTCGCACTTGGCTGCACTGCTTCATCTCAGAGATGATGATGTATCTCAAGGGGGGGGGGCGGGCAGCCTTTTCCTTTTTCGTAACAACTTGGCCCTGACCAAAGCAAAGTATTCTACTTTCATGTAGGAGAAATGCACTTATCACCACAAAGTAAACTGGAAAAGATAGACATCTGAAGCAAGTACATGTGTATGAACATTTCAGAAAGTGATCAAGTAGAATGAACTGTAGAATTTGAGTTTCCTGAAAGTCTCTGAATACTGTAAGAGTGCACCAAGTCTTAAGGAAACCATACTTTGAGTTTGTCCAGAGGAGTTTTCCCACCCCTTTTCCTGTCTTCAGTGGCAAGTGACATTACTGGACACTTGGAAATCACTTTTTAGAGGCCATTATTTTTGGTTATATGAAGGAAGTAGTATTATTATGGTTAAAAATAATACAAGGAAGAAAAATACCCTAAGCCTCGCCTTACCAAAGACTAAAACAAAAAATAGAACAAAAAAGTCAAGAATACACAGGGCATCAAGATTTTCAGATTTACACAAGCTAAACTTCATAATTTTAAGTATTAAAGGATTTGTAATTAAATGCCATTGAAAATCTGTTTACAAATTTTTTTTAAGTATTCCCATCCTCTTTTCTTCTTCTCTTTATTTATTTTTTGGTTCTTTTGAGACTGGGTCTCACTACATATTTCAGTCTCTCCTTGAATCTACTATATAGCCACGCTGGCCTTGAATTCCACGCAATCTTCTTGTCTCAGCCTCCCAAGTTGTGGGCTGGGATTACAGGTGTGTACCACTGTGCCTGGCTCTCTATTTTAAAAGAGAACTTATTATAACATTTTAAAGGAAAGCCCAGTTAAATATTAGCTGAAAAAAGATTATGGTTTTATAGCTTCTTTATTGATTTTTTTAAATTAGTTTGGTTATGTAACCAAATGCCCTGCCCTGCTGAAGGGTTTGGCACCACACATAGTATGATTTTTAGAGAGCATGTGAACAGCTTTGGGAGAGGCAGAATGGTCATGATCACCCGTCCATTTATATTTTCATTATCAAAGGTGAACTTGCCTCTGTAGGTGGGATTACAGGCCCCATCGCATGAAAGCACTGAGCTCATGTTCTCCATTACACAGGATAATAACAGAAAATATGCAAATATAGATGTCTTATTCAAATAACTTGCTTCAAAAACCATTAGGTGATAGCTTTAATAACAAAACTATAAAGTGAGTCCTATTTCATATTACTTGTCAGTCACTATTCCCATAATAATAAGTGATGAGTGAGGGACCATTACCAGTGGTCAAGTCCAAGGATTCCAAGCTGTGCCTTTCTGCTAACTAACTGTGCTTTTAAAACCTTGCACTGAATAGTTTAAAACCTCAAGTGAATAAAAAAGATAAACTATGGTCAATTCTAGATCACTTTTTTCCTAAATAAATTATTAAAATAACAACAGATTGTCCAAAACACTGAAATTACTTTCTCCTTCTATCAATAAGTTGATCTACATGTCATTTTACGTCCCATTTAATTGGTACTCCAATAATTATTTACTGAAGAAAATGAAGCTGAGAGTTGTGAGATTTATAGGCACTGAAACCCGGTTTTTAGATAACAGAGTAGTTTGTCTCATTGTAGCTACTTTGGCAAACCTGAGAACGTGAGATAATTCCCTCCGTGACCCAAGTTGACGCGTGGAGGAAATAGTTCTGGGAAGGAAAACTTAGTGCCTTTATTTTTCCCTTCTTTAACCTTTTGTTTTGTTTTGGTTTCCTATCAGAGATAAAACAATCCCACTTGTGCTCATTAAAAAATGCAATTATTTCGAAAAAAATAACTTTGAGTGATAAAAATGCCACTTTCCTCTCTAACTGTAGTAAATGTAATTTCAAACCAAGAAATTAAAAAAAAAATAGATTTATCGTTAAGCAAGCTGCATAGGACAAATTTAGTTGGTTGGGTAATGTAATCACCAATAAAATTCTATTTTTTTCTGAGCTACTTTCTGTGTAAGTTAAGATGTGGTAGAGTATTATGTTATGATTTTGAAACTATATTCCAAGGACACACAGATAATTTTGTGAATGATCTGCAACAATGTTCTCAGGCATTGAGCCAATAATGGGAATCCATCTCTTATTAAAAATCAGTTAACATATTATGCTTTTACTTCATTACTATACTACTCTTGTTATAAATTTCTTTCCTTTGGTTTTACTGCACATGTAGTTACTCACTTTGGGGAAGTGCTAAGAATTTATTTCAAGGATTGGTCATTGTGTTCTAGATAAAAAAAAATATCCCTTTGATGTTCCAGAATCTCCAGCAGTTTAAGAAACAAGGCTTGGAAGCTCACTCCTATTCTACTCAATATAGCTTAAGTACTTAACAATGAGAAGGCAAGTCTTTGTTCATCCTTCTTTCTTTTTTTTCTTTTTCTTGGTACCGGGAATCGAATTCACCACCTTGGGCCTGCCAGATTGGCACTATGCCACTGAGCTATCTCCCCAGCCTGTTCATTATCTAACATTTACATTTTCAAGTCATTTCAAAGAGCAGAGAATTAAAACACATTTTCTCATGGGGACAGAAATAAAGGAGCACAAATGTAAGACTAGTCTGAGCTGAGCACATGAGAGGGACAGTGAAAACACACAGCACCATCCTGGATAGAGTGGGTGCACCACGGCAACCACTGTAGGCCAGAGAGACTATTTTAGAAATGTGGTCACTGCAGAGATACTTCTCAAAATGATCACCTCATTGAAAATAGATGAACATGATCAGAAAATAGCCATGAAAAAGAAAGCAATATAAAAAGTTACATTTTCTGAGAGACTAGAAGCAGGGCTCATGGAAGGGCCTCTCGAAGCTCAGAGATACTACTGATGCTTATAATAGTTGTCTCACATCCTTAGAAAATCTAAAGTGGTGCTTCTTGTAGAAAGAGTTCGCTAGTTAAGCCATAGAAAGAGAGATAACTGCTGATGAGCAGGTGATGTGCTGACCCCTACTCTTCAGCTGTGACACGCACTGAGTTCTTTGCTTTCACATCAACTTCACTTCAGAAGGAAAGCCAGAGATGCACAATACTGTAATCTGGAAGCCTCTGTAAGGCAGCAAAAAGCATCACCCTAGAACGGACAGGCTACGTAAGGTCCACTTTTGGCTACATTAGCAACTGGTTCGCTAGAGCCCACAGCATTTTGCCACACAGGATACAAAAACACAGATCCACAGCAAGGGAGGCAAGTGAAAAGTCAGGGACATGGCAGTGTGTGTGTGTGTGTGTGTGTGTGTGTGTGTGTGTGTGTGTTTGTGTGCATGTGTGTGTGCATTACCAGAGCACACTATAAAATGAAACCCCCGCTGCCAATAGTCCAATTCCAGTCAAGTAAATTAAGGCTACTAGAGAACTGGTTGGTATGAAGAATCCATTCCAATTGAGCAGGAAGGTACTGATTCACTCTCGAAGACACAAGGAAAAGTTTAGAAGAAAAGCAAGTTCTTGGGAAAAATGAAGCACACACATGCACGATGTTTCTCAGGTGAGGAAAAGGGAAAAAAAAATGAGAGAGATCAAAGCAATCCAACTGCAAGGCAAGGCAGGTGTTTGCTTCCAGTTCACAGTATTGCAGTTAGTGGTAGAGTGAGGTCTACAGAAGTGCTGGAGAGTAGAGAGGCTGCCCAGAAGGAAAGGGAGGAAAGAAGTGGTCACATGACAACACAGCATTGACAGCGCTTTTTCTTTTGGGTACCTGGGGCTGGCTCGGTGGCCAGGCTCTCTTCCTTCCCTTCTGGGGATGAAGGTTCTGTGGTGTCCGATACCGGCCTCCCAGACACAAGCTCAGCTGCGTTCCCATCAATGGTGGACACATCTGTCACTGTCTTCTCTCTCAATGACTTCTCGTCATCTTCATCAATGAGGACCAACTCAGCCTTGATGGTTTCATCATAGCCTAGCACCTTCTTAGTCTCCTCTTCATCCTCGATATTTTGGTAGCCCATAAAAATCATGGTGACTGGCTGATCCAAGTTTGCCTCTGGTTCTTCTGTGCTGGGGGCTTGGGGCTGTTGCCCTGGGTTCCCAGAGGCATGATCTTTCCTAGACTTATGAACCATTTCTAACTTGGCTTCTTTGCAGAGCATGTATTCCTTAGGGTGGCTGAGGCTCCCATCTGCAACCACAGTTCTCTCTGACACGTGCCCTCCTCTTAAGCTTGATTGTCCAGCCTTCTGAATAAGCTCTTCGACATCCTTTGCACTTAATTTGTGCACTCCATTTTCTACTATGGTGCCTCCCGAGTGTACCTCATACACTACTTTGGTACCATCATCATAGACTTTGACTCCTCTCTGATGGACCCCCTCTGGGCCAATCGTAGATGCAGAGAGAATCTTGGTCTCTCCTGTTTGTTTGTCTTTCTCCACATTAATTTCCATGGCGTACACAGCTTGAATGAAAACAAGAGAAAGGAAGTGCATGTTACAACAAAAAAAGCCAGTGATTGGTTAATTGCCAAACAGACAAAAAAGGTTTTGTGCCCTTTCTATGCTAACCACCACGTATCCTGAGTGTTAGAGTGAGGTGCACATTGTGGACAAAGATGGTTATATATGTATCTTACAGTAGCATGATGCACTGAGAAGACAGATGAGACAGTCACTATATCCCAGTGGCACGCATACCTTTAAGGAAGACCTGATAAAATAGGCCATAACAGACTTCGGATCTAGACGGAAAGAATTATAGGAAAGCTGGCAACATGTAAACTTTGAGGGCTTCTTAGGCTTATAGACTACTAGAAAGCATGTAGTTGTGTCTCAGTGCCAAAATCTGACATTTGTTTCTAGTTCTTTACTCAAATATTTCTATGTTTCCTTGTGTTTCTGCTGGAGAATATGTCAAGGTTTTTGCAGTTGAGACATGATTATCTCCTACTATCTTTTGCAATTGGCTATTTGGAAAAAGTGAGAACTGTGAAAGCATTCATATTAGGTGTTCTGGAGGTGCACCACTCTAAAATAAGAACAGGGAAAAGAACAAGACTGAAAGCCAGACATGGTGGCTTATACTTGTAAACCCAGAATTTGAGAGCTGAAGCAGTAGAATTGCAAGTTATAGTGTTACCTGGACAACTTTGTCTTAAAAGGGGGTGTAAGGGGACTTGAATGTAGCTCAGAGTCAAGGCCCTGGGTCCAATCTCTAGTATTTAGAAAGAAAAACAAAGACAGAGCAGCAGCTTCCTATACATTGGAACCTGAGAATGATGTCATAGCTTCTTTTTTTTTCTTTGTACAAGAGAAAAACTCATAGTTCTGTCCCATAATGTCTTTCTCATTTCTTGTCTTCTTTCTGTTCCACTGTCACTACCCAATAAGAGAAGCTCCTTTCTTCCCTAGATGCCAAGAACAGCTTCTTCCTTCTGAGACTGAGTCCTTTAGTTTCTTTCTGTGTAGTTCATCCCTAGTTCTGCTGCTGGCCTGGTGTTCCTGAAGACCAGCCCTTTCCTGTCCTACAAGTATACTCCCTCACAGGATCCTTGAGGTGTATGTCTTTGGGTATGAATAAACTGGGTACCTGACTCACAGAGCACCCTGGCACATCCGATTCACCAATATCAAGTGATTCCACTTCTCTCAGAACCCCGCCCCCAGAACCTTGGTGTTGGCCCATGCCCATACCACTACTTACTGTCCCAGGCCAGAAGCCGTCAGGATCTCACCTGATTTTGCCTCTTCTTCCTACTTCTCACACCCAAACAGGCACTGAGAGGAACTAATTCTGCTTCAGATAATCTCACCTATCTCTTCATCGCCATCTCTACCACCACCACACTCGCCCAGGCTTCTGCTCAACACAAAACTCTTATATCAGGTTTTATATGGCCCTTCTCTCTTTCCACTCCAGTCTGGGGGACTGCAAATATAGCCAGAGAGCCAAAGGCAGTATGAGCCCTCATTCTGTATGGCCAAAGGAGGAAGAATGGGAATTTTTACATCATTAGAAAGATTGTTAAAAAAAAAAAAAAAGAAAGAAAGGAATAAAAGGGAAAATATGAAGAATATGTAACAGAGCTCATATGTGGTCCACATAGTTGAGATTTTTTCAAATTTGGCCATCTGTAGGTGTTCCCAGTTCCACTCGCCTGTGTTTGAGCCTGGCTGCAATGACCTGCCTCAGGTTCCATGGTGGTTCTTGTTTACATTGGATAAACACCAAGCTGCCTAGCTTGGCATATACTCCCCTTCAGAACTTATCTGCAGCCTTCCTTCCCAGCTCTGTCTCACAGTCCCTCTGGTTTTACACACTCTCCAGCCACAACAGGCTCTTCACTATTCCCAGGACACTGCTCAGCAGCTTCCCAAGCTTGCTGCCCTTCAGCCTTCTTCCCTGGCCAACTTCTAGAGTCTGGTGCCATATGCCCACTTATCACTGTCAGGGTTCCCTACCTCTTCCTGAATATCTACATGGTTATTGACCTGGGTAAAGGACATCTTTCTAGACATATGTTCTGTCATTCCTTTTCCCTTAGCTATAACCGAACACTATCCCACATCTACACACCAACCCCTTCTGAAATGCCCATCTCTTGGCTTTCTGCACATCTAGCCATTCCTTATTCATCAATGCCAACACTAACTGCCCTTTTAATATAAGCTTTTTTTCAATCTTCCCATTCCTTTTTTTTTTTTTTTTTAAATCTTCCCATTTCTAAGCCAGCTTTCTCCTTTTAAGAATTTCTGAACACCTCTAAACTTCTCTGATAGCATTTAGTTTCCACCCGGCACTATAATTATTTGTAGTATAATGATGGCTTCATAGATTTTTAGGGTCGTTGAGGTTACATTTTTGTCTCTGCCATTCGTGATTCGCTCTTCCTGCCAGCACCTACCTTAGATCGCTTGCACAGAAGGTACCTGGCATATCCACCCATGAAGCAGAGGTTAGTAATTGAAGAGTTTAATTTGATTGTCTAATTGTAGTCACAACTGCTGTGTATAATATGGCACCAATGAAAAGTTATGCACGGTAATTAATACATGAGCTCATTTAGAAAAACAGCAATGATGTTGTTCCATCTGCTGGCACAATGTGATACAGTCTGTTCACGGTTGACACTTAACTAAAAAGATTATGAAGCAAAATCCACTGCTTGAATTCCCCATATCCATTTTGAAAGTTTCACTTGTTCTGTATAAAAATATTGAGTTCCCTCAAGTGACACAGGGGAAGCCAACCAATATTTGTCACAGAGGTGCGTGGGCTCACACCCAAAGAACATAATATCAAAAGAAATATTTATCTCCATTATTTCCTGATTTTCCACACAAAGTATCATTGGAGTATACGAGAGGTATTTAAAATTCTGCATAGATTCCAAAAGCCTATTCTTGAAAAATTACAGTTATGATAAAAGCACAATTTTGGGTTAAAATATCATATCACTATTAGCACTTTCATGGGATATAGTTATAAATAATAGAAGTAATAACAAATATCAGTTTATAGGAATTATCCTCCAAATAATAAAATGCGTGAACAAGACACATTAACCTATAATCAATATATAAAGGAAACAAATATTTCTATTTTTATATCCCCATGGGATAAGATACAAATTATTAACATACAAATGTTTAGAGATGTCTCTCTTCCTCTTTCCACCCCCGAATGCACTGTCATTATTGGTCCAGTTTCCCCTTCTCCCAACCTAATCCCGACTTCAAGTCATCTCTGCCTGCTGCTAGAATCAGGACTGGACAGAGCAAAGCTACCATTAACACTTGTCTGCTGGAAAGGGTAGACATCCATAGCATGCAGAGATGGGAAGGAAGCTTAGTGGTAGAGAACAGAAGCTGTGCTGACAATGGAGAGAGAGGGCATGCTCCGTGGTGGTGAGCGATGCTTTGGGGCCAGTGAGATGCAGAGGACAGACAAGGGAATCGGAGCTACTGCTGAGCGGGGATGTGAGATACAGAAGGTCCCCTCTACCGCCCTTCAGGAGAAATAGGAAACGAGCCGATTGCCTTTCTAAGGGCTTTCTGATTTGCAATTTTAAACTGTATTAGAATTGAACTGCATGTTACATAGGTCCATTAGGGTTACGTAAGTGTATTTATATTTATGTGTTGGGCATGATTCTTCTAATATTTTTAGATGACTACTATAAGATTCTGTAATTAATTTAATAGTTTTATATTAAAATTTGAATATGCTATGCTATCAAATGCAATATTTATGAATCCTCTCTCTCTAATAAAACAACAGATTTCAAAGGAATCACAAATTTTTAGTGGATCCCAGGATGTGGAGCCAATTCCTTTCCACATATACATTTTCTGGTAAGGGGTACACAAGAGAAAACCTTGAGAAACTTGTTTACACCAAGGCCAGTATTTAGCCCTCTTGGATAATAACATGAGGATGCTATTTAGGCTAAGAAGACTAAGCAGAAGGTAGAATGTTTTCTTAACTTCATATTTATATTTTATATATTTATATTGTAGTTCTCAGACAACAATGCACCAAACTGAATCAAGTGGGATAAACCAGTAGGACTCCAGTTTTAAATTCAACATTTGACTATTTCCCCTCAATTTTGTTTTGTTACCTGTTTGATGTTAGGGACAGACCTCAAGGTTGGGCACATGCACTTAGGTGCCTGCTGTGTCACTGAGCTACAATGACAAAATGCCTAAATGGCATTTTCTTTCTTTCTTTCTTTCTTTCTTTCTTTCTTTCTTTCTTTCTTTCTTTCTTCCTTCCTTCCTTCCTTCCTTCCTTCCTTCCTTCCTTCCTTCCTTTCTTTCCTTTTCTTCCTATAACCAGGGATTAAACTCAGGTCCTTGTGCTTGCCAGGGAAGCACTTATTCTACTGAGCCATTTCCCTGTCCCAACATTTTGTTCCTGATAGACACAATTCAGAAATATCTTGTGCTTTCTACAGCTCTCAAGCAGTCTATCCCCAGAGCCTCTCCCTCCTGGTCTGCCTGTATTCCTAACCACCCAGGACATGCTCCAGTCTGCTCTCAGATTCCTCCCATTTCCCCACACCAGCCGGGTCTGCAATCTGTGCAGTGAGCCGGGGCAAAGGGTCTGGTGGCTCTCTGTTCATCTTAGAAAAAGATGAGCAGGAGCACCTTTGAGGGGAAGGGCCTTCTGGGGAGCCTCTGAAGAGATTCTGAAAGAGCCCCATGGACACAAGGAGAGGACTCCAAAATTTCCTGGAGGAAGGACCTGGAGAAGGAGACAGAGGGTACAAGGACCACTCAATGGAAGTATCACCCACTGACAGGCTCACTGGAGTTGAGATAAACATTTTTATTATGTGATCTATTTAGTTATTGATTTCTAGTTATTGATTTCACTACTCCTTCCAATAATCCAGATAGATAGCTGAGGAATGTGTTCATTGTATTAGTGAGGAACAACCAACAGGACTGGTTTCTT